TCTGAGGCAAATGCAGAACATTCAAACTCCCTCTCAGCCAGGGCTCTATAGGGGAGCAGAGCCATGTACAATTATCAAAAAGGATTTGTTGGATTGGTTTGCACATCCAGGGGTTAGGTGGTATCACAGTGGTAGACAGCAAGCTGGAGAACTAGAGAAACAAATAGCTACAAAGTCCAAGAAGATGAAAATCTCAGAATAAGAGAGACCAAGGATGCAGCCCCAGTCTGAGACCAGAGCCAGGAAGTCGCTGGATAGTCGCTGCAGTGGGTCTACACTGGAAAGGTGCCAGAAGTTGCAGCCTGACATCTGTGGGCAGTAGCAGCATCAACAGGTGCACTGACTGAGGAAGAATCGAGCATCCATGCTCTGCCTTCCTCCTGCTTTTTTCCACCCGAGTCCCCAGCTTATTGGACTGTGGTACCCACTTTCAGGACAGCTCTTTGCCCTCAGTTGTTCACCCTTATAGACACTCCAAGAAGTGGGCTTTAGCTGGGCATGGAAGTACATGCCTTTAATCCCAGCACTCGGGAGGCAGAGGCAGGTTGAGCTCTGATTTAGAGGCCAGCCTGATCTACAGAGCAAGTTCCAGGCCAGCGAAGGCTACATAGTGAGACTGTGTCTCACTATGCATCTGATTAAGTTGACAATCAAGGTTAACCATCTAGCCAGGGATGGTGGCACTTGCGTGATAATCCAGCACTAAGGAGGTGGAGGCAGGAAGATTGTGAGTTCAAGACCAGCTTGGGTTACACAGCAAATTCTAAGCTAGCCTAGGCTATACAGTGAGATCTTGAAGAAAAATAACCACCACCACACTCTTAGGGATCTTTCTGTGTTCTTTACATTTCTAACACAGGCAGAACACTTATCATTATGGGACACTGAGGGCTGGAATAATGGCTTATACTGTGTATAAATTTGGGGTGTATTGACAAAAGTGTCTGGTGCCTGGTTACAAAATAAGCCTGTCTCAGTGAAGAATAGAGCCTGTGCATGAGGTGCCCTGTGATACCAACATTGTATTCCCGTCTGGCCCTTTTGCCCAGGGCTGGGACTTACCGGCACCTGCTTCTCCTGGCACTTGAGTATGAAGGTTAACATAATAACTGAATGTTTGCAGCATGCTTAGCAAATCCAGGACATTGAAAAGATACAATGCATATAAAAATGTTTGCATGTATGTGTGGTGTGTGCACATGTGTTTGCATATGTGTAGACACCTGTGTGTACAGGGGCATGTGTGTGTGCATGTGTGTGAGGACCTGAAGATGATGTTTAGTGTCTTCCTCCATTGCTCTCCACTTTATTCATTGAGGTGGAGTCTCTCCCTGAACCTAGAATTCGCTAATTCCAGCTAGTCCAGCTCATCAGCTTGTCCTGGGGATCCTCTGCATCTGCCTCCCAAGTGTGAGATTACAAGCTGCCACCGTGCCTGTCCAGCATTTTACATGGGTTGTGGAGATCTGAACTCTGGTCCTCATGCTTCAGCAGCAAGTGCTTTATTCACTGAGCCATCTCCATAGCCCCACCCACACACCTGCCCCTCCTTTTTTGCTTTTAAAAGGGTTTTGTATTCATGATAGTAGTGCAGGAAACAAATATATAAACATGAAATAATAACAGAATATGGGTCTAGATAATTAATTGTATACTGCTGGCAATAAGCACAATATTTACTCAGAAATAGGGGGAAGAAAGTAAAAGTTCTTCAAAGAGAAGGAAGAACTTGGATGAGGCCTTGGCTGTCTGTGTTCTCCAGGAGAATGGAAAGGCCAGGGCTACACTCATGAGGGTGAGCAGCAGAGCCTGGGGTTCAGTGAAGGGACTGAGCTGAGGAGAGAAGGGTACTGAGGCCAACAATCATGCAGAGTGATGCTCATGTCATTAAAATGTTTATTACATTTGTTCATTGTGTACGTGCATATATGTGTGTGGGCTTGTGTATAAGGAAACTTTCAGGAGTTGCCTTTCTCCTTCTACCACATGGGTTCTGGAGATTGAACTCAGGTCACCAGGCTTGGCACCTTTACCTGATGAGCGGTCTCTCTGGTCCGTTCATGTCGCTCATGTCACTTTTTTTTTTGTGATGATGACTGATAATTTATAGAAAATGCATAATTTCTTGCATGGTAACAGGTGAAAGATAATTTAAATAGCTTTCATGTACACAAAGGTCACTAAACATCAACTACATTGCTACAATGTACATTTATTCATTCAACATATTTTTAATTATTTATTTAATAACCACATACTTAGAAGAAGCATTTCATTACAACAGCATTAACCTATTCAATAACATTTTTCTGAGCTAGAT